ACATACAGCATTATTTTTAATACCTGCATGTGTAGATGCCTGCCTAAACCCGCCTAATGCACAGTAAGCTAATGTGCATTAAATTTTTATGGGCTTAAATGCATGCCTACAAAGAACTGACACATGCATGTGTGCATAACTGTATTTATATGTGTGCATATATATGCAAAGAAAGCACACACTGCTCTATACTTCCTGACTTGCAATGTCATCATTTTTTTTCTTAGAAAGTGAATTCCCCCACTTCCATTCTCCAGCAAATTATACATACACACACACATATATATAATACATATAACAGCAGTAGGAGGCCTTCTGCGATCATTGCTAACTGTGAGCAGTACAGAGCACACACAGCTCTGTTAGTACTCATGTAACCATAACAACAGGAGCTGATAACCTAAGGACAGAAGTGATCCTTGCAGGTTTCTGTTTCATAGAGCAGAGGTAAACAGAGCCTGGCTTCACCTCCCATGCCCAGATCGTGTTGCAAGTCACACAGCCTGATGGTCTAGGTCTGGGGGGTTCCCTTTGTTTAATGTGGCAACAGAAAAATAGAAGTTTTCACACCAGATCGGACAGCAGTTGACTGGTTAATTTGCTTGCATGTGAATGGTTATCCAGTAGAATTAAGTGATTAAGAGTGGTGAGCTAGGGCTGTGGTTTTGTGTGGCTTTGTCTTGTTTTTCACAGTACCTGGCAAAACTCAATTTAAACTTAATTGAGACTTTGCAGCATTCCCACAGTGCAAATAAATAAAAATAAACTGGTATCATTTCATGTGAAAAATACGTGAAGAGCCTGTAATTTTAGCCAACAGAAATTAGCCATGACATCCCTGCCCCATGTACAAGTGAGAAGGGGTGGATTGGACAGGACAGCTTTCAAATGAGGTTTTATTTGAAAACATATATGTGCCCCCTCAAAAATAATGAAGCAGGCAACAAAACAGGTCAGTTGTAATCCAGTGTGGTACTAGAGGAATAGTATGAAGGACTTTGAAGTGCTGGGTTGTGGGATTTTTTTTTTTTTTTGCATTGCTTGAAAACTCAGACAAAGGTAAATCCTGGAGCTCAGCTGCTATATTGATCTGCTCTTTTCAGCCTTGCTTTTCATGAAAAGCAACAAAAGGCTAAAAAATGATGGCTCCTAAAGCAAATACTTGGACAGCTTTAAAATAAAGAAATGATCCGGTGGGATCCCTGAAAGCTTCTCGTTTTTACTCTGACATTGTCTCTGGCAGGACTGCTCATGAGGGCACCTGCATGATAGGAAGGGTTTCACTTGACTCTCTCCTCTGTTCCTGGGTTGCCAGCAGTTTTTACCCTCTCACACACTGCTCAGTCTCCTGCTGTAGCCCAGAGAGAGACCAATGCAATAAGTCAGGTAAGTTCAGTGATGTTAGAAAGCGCCATCTCAACTAATTAACCTAAAACACTAACCTGTTTCTATTATTTATGTTATAGTAACACAGAGACCCCTGCCATCACAATAGGGACTGTATGTGAACAGTGAGACAGAGATGTGGCAGACAAAGTAAAGCAACTTGTCCTGTGCCAGCCAGCAGGCCACTGTGGGTCACTGGTGCCCTAACCAGTGAACCATGCCACCTCCCTCAGTCACTGAATTATTCTATCTATGTCAAGCATCAGATGACTCCATGAATGGGCTTGCTTTCAGCACAAGCTCCTGCAGTCTTGTGGCTGTCTGGTACAGTAATACAGTAATAGTGCAGCAGTTAGCCAGGGGAGAGTTGTTTGATGCACTAGAACTAGCAGGCAGAGCAAGAGCCGGCCTGGCAGAGAGCTCCAACGTCTCGAATGGGAGATGCCCAGGCTGGACTTTTTAAAGGCACAGACCCACATGGGACAGCAAGTGTGGAGCAGGAGTGAGGCCCTGATCATGCAGTGGGATCCCTGCAGGCAGCCTGCTGCCCATCCACAGAGCCCCACTGCCATCGGTAGGCCTGCGGACAAGCACTGGGACACATCAATGCAGAGCTTCCTGCAGGATCAGGGCTTGCTGCAGATTAAGTCAATGTGGTGCCCCCAGGTAAGGCCAGAACAGGGGCCGGGGTGGGCACAGAGGAGGCTTTTGAATGCCCTGTGTGTTGCCTTGGAGGTCTCAGTGGGCAACGTAAGAGCTAATGCTGACAGACATGCATGCCTTTCCAATGGGGAATCATTTCCCTTGTGGAGCTGAAGTGGACACAAATGTATGACAAGGCCAGCTCCAAATCTACAGGCCAGGTAAACCAACTCAGAAAGCCATGATGCAAGTAGTGAAGTCCAAAAAGAAATTGGGAAGGAGTTCCTAGTGGATATCAAAAATGAATAGGTGAAGGTTGCAAAATATCATACAAATCCATCCCGTCTTTGTCTCTTTGGACTCCTGTCTCATTTGGTGCAAAGTGGTATAGTTCCACTGACCTCAGTGGGGCAAAGCTGATTTATACCCAGGGAGTGTATGCGGCCACATCATTTGCTTGGTCTAATTAGGTGCCCCTAAAGTAGACACCTTCCTGGTAATGTGCCTATTCATTTCAAACAGCAATGTTTGCTGCTCTCCCACTGAAAGAAAAAATTGTAAACAAACCTGTATTATCCAGCTGTGTCTGCAACATCTATTCCCCCTGGGGAACTACTGAGGGAATGCACCTATGGCAGACCCACAGTTTCTCCACACCAGGATACCACCAAGGTAGATGTTTTGCAAATCTACCATTCTCTGGACACGGGACACAGTTCTCAGCATTAGATTCTCCCTGTACTTACACCCTTAAAAATTAGGGCAACCCACAGAAGACCGCACAGTCTCTCCCTTGTCAAACAGAGTGGGAGCAGGAGTCAGTCCAGCACATACAGCACAGGAAGACTCTTCTAAAGGGTCTTGGGTAGGAGAACACTCATGGATTTCTCTTCCCTTGCTTGTGGCTCTTGACTTTCTCTCCTTCTCCCTGTGGCATTACATCACAACAGTCCTGGAGAAGCCTATAGGGCCAAATCTTCAGCTACTACAATCACTGCAGCCCTTTGAGACCCTTATAGCTATGCCAGTTTACATCAGCAGAGGAACTGGCCTGTGAATCTCTCTTTATGCATTCTCCTGGCTGTGATCAAGTACTCCCTTCCTTCCTCTGAGAGTTCAGCCCCAAGCAGAGGCTTAGAAAAATCTGGTGGAGCTCAGCTTTCCTGAAACAAGCCTGGAGTTGCATAAACAGCCACTCGGTTGCCTGGCCCTGTTATCACTTGTCTCCTGCATACACACATTGCACCTCAGCGAAGTTCAAACAATGGAGGAGGTGTACTCATGTGAACCCCTTCCATTCTGTAGTTCTCAGTTTAGCTATGGTGTGTACTCTACCACCGGCCGGCCTGCAGAGTATTATTATTGGTACATACGACACACCTAGTAACTTGCTGTTGCCCACACACAGTTCTCTGTTGCCATTTCTCTTGGCGCTCAAGTGATACAGACAGTGCAATTTTGATCTGAAAAATATGGTATGTAATATTTTATAAATGGCAGTTTTTATCTAAATATCTGTTAGGATATGCAACAGCAGGTATCACATCCTGTTAAAAGGTGACTGTGAACACTGGGAGTGAAATTTAATTTTTAGAATCCAATGGCTGTCACCCATATTTTAACTGTTAAATAACTTAGATTTTAATTTGTAGATTTTTTTCTGCACCAAAGTGTTAGCTATAAAGCTAATAATAAAGATTCCTTGACACCACAGAGTGAGAAAGAATTTTTTAAACCTGATTGTATCATTTCTACAATCAGTCTATATTTTAGGACAAAAGTGGGAAAATGAGCAAATGGCATTCTAGGTAACAATCTAGATTTAGGTCAGAGAAAGGTAATGCAGACAAGTCCTTTTGGTGGTTCGCTGGGAAAAACCAAAAATGTTGCAATATTGAAGTATAATAAATTGGTTTGTTTTCCATGTCTTGTTTGAAAGCAGTAGAAATGTGTGCCACGATCAAGTGTACGTGTATGATTCTGTGTATGTCCACATGTTCTCATGGAACTGATCATTTTAAACCGCTGTAACACAGAGAGGTTTGATATTTTTTTTTAATTTCTTTTGTTAGGTACTAAGAGTTGAAGCATAAGCCTCAGCATAATTTTGATCTGTTGATTCTCCACATACCCACCAATTGCCTTATCAATGAACTTGCATAACTTTTTTTTCAAACTTTAGAAACATCTATAGGCCTCATGTAGCCTACAAAGAGAATTATTTGTAATGATCTCTACTAGGCACTGTAGCTTTTATAAGAGTGCATGTACACTTGCATATATGGTATTGGGTAGATATGTGGAAGTTTTAGGCATATCTGACTACTTTAAATATATGTGGGCACATATACGGAGAGGTGTTTTATGAAAGTTTATAAATGTATGTGCGTGTGTATGTCATGCGTGTATGCAGGAATAGACCCCACAGCCAAGATATTAAAATTTAAACTGAGTGTAAAAAATCAAATTCTTATTTTTAGAAAAGTTAGTTCTAAATATTGCCAAAAATAGGCATTTAAATGTACCTCAACAAGGGGACTGACTTCGCAAAATGCTGAGCAGCAACTGGTATGGGCTTTACACAAGAAAATGTGTACACAGACAAACCCATGGGTATATGAGGCAGCAATATATGTAAAAGTATCAATCAGAGTGGGTAAAAAAAATGTTCCCACAAAAAAGGTCCATAAAATATGATGGGTTTTCATACAAAAAAACCAGAAGATTAAGTGAAAAGTTCACTTCCCTCCTCCCCCCCGAAAACAGAATTTTCTTGCAAAATGTTCCATTTTGTAAATAAAACCGTCTTTTGTCTGAAAAAGGACCTACTTATACTAGACCAGCACTAGTGCTGTAGAGGTTGTGTGTATACCAATAAAGCGTAGACCAGTAGACAGGCATAACCAGCGTAGATATTGATGTGCCTACAGAGTGTGAGCACATGGAGTTACACATGCTTTTTTGCCTTGTAGCCGTTCTCCCAGAATATTTACTATCCATGGTATTTGCCTGCATTCAGGACACAGTGGCCAAGTATGCCAGGGCACGGCACCCCCATGAGCTACCCCAGCAATGGGGCAGTCTTCGGGAACATGCTCACCAGCCCTGGTGGAATCCCTGCCTTCAAATTCCAGTCTCGCCGGGACAGCATTGATTGGAGGAGGTTTAGTGCCATCGATGTGGAACGAGTGGCCCGGGAGCTGGACGTGACCACGCTTCAGGAGAGTATCAACAGTGTCACCTTTTGCAACCTTGATTCAGAGAAGTGCCCATATTGCCAGCAGCCGGTAGACCCAGTCCTCTTAAAGGTCTTTAAGATGGCACAGCTGACCATTGAGTACCTGCTGCACTCCCAGGAGTACCTGAGTGCCAGCCTGGCACTGCAGGAGGAGCAGCTCCAGTCAGCAATGGAGGAGATCAAGCTCACCAAGCAGGAGGTGGAGAAGCAGGCAGAGGAAATGAGGGGAGTCAAGGAGGAGAGCAGGAGGCGAAAGAAGATGATCGCCACCCAGCAGCTTCTCTTGCAGGCTGGGGCCAATAACTACCACAAGGTGAGGTGAAGGGTGGAGGACAAAAATGCCTGACAAGCCTCAGTGCTCCTGGGGCCTTGAAGGGCAGTGGTCCTTTCACTGCTAGCGGTCACCTCTGCAGCAATAGCAGCTCAGTCACCAGCCCCGGACCTGGCACCGGTTGCTTAGACAGTAAATTTCCCCCTGAAGCCTTGGCTCAGCCAGGCATGTGAGCTCCTGTTTAAGTTTAACCAAGCAAAGAGCTGCATTGACTATTCAACTTCTTGCAGCTAAGCACAGGCATAACTGCCTTGCTAGACCAGATCTTAGCCCAGGCCACTGAGTGCCTTCAGAGGAACAGGCAGGAGTCGCAGGGGGGCGGGCATCAGGCACGTACAGAAATCCATGACCTTGTCCAGAAAGTACAATCACTTCTGGACACATTTCTCTAGTCACCAACTATAGAAATGACCCACTACTACAGCAGGTTGCTTTGCACTGCAGTAGGGAAGGAAATGGATGTTTGTGTAGACAGTACAGAGTTTCATAACTCTGGAGGAGAGCCCCTGTTGACTGTTGGTCCCAGGTTCAAGCCCCCTCTGGATGTGCAGGTCCTAGAACTCAAGCACTCTTTTTTCCCAAATAAGTGCCTACAGTCACCTTTACATATTCATATGGGGAGGGAAGGGAAAGTGTCCATAGTCATCCACAGGGCTACATGTCCTGGAACAGAATTCCTCTGTGTGCATAATGCCTTGCAGATGGCCAAGATGCGGTCACTCAGTTGACCAGGAAGCAGTAGACTCCTATCCCTGCTTTCTCTTGAGGGATCCCACCTGTTGTGTAACAATTTGGCCCTTATAGACCATGCTACATTCCCAGGTGGCAGTTGCCCCTAGGACGTTCCTCAAAGGGGGATGCCTAAAGGGCAGAACGTGAGCAGGAAGACAGAAAAGTGGTGCTCCCTCTTGTGGGCAACTCTGTCGAGCTGGGAGAAAAAACCATCATTCCCTCCACAGCCCAGGCCTCTGTCCACCTACACTATCAGATTATACTTTTCACTGATTCCCTGAGGGAAGAAATTGGATTTACCAAGAGGAAGGGAAGATGAGGGATTAGGTCACCAACCATGGGTGAGAGTCCTGGGAGCTATTCTCTCCTTTGCCTCGAGTCACTTCTCATCTCCCAGTGCCTTAGTTTCCCATCTTTGTATACCTCCTCTCAAGTCACCATAATGATTAGAAACCAAAGAGTCACTACGCTGGTTAGCTACTACTTTTACTATTAGTGTCTGCATGTTTATATTAATATATTCTGAACAGTCATATACTTGAAGCTATTCCTTCCTTACAAATGGCTCGAACTTCATTTCTATACTTTTTGGTTTAGGATGCATTTGAATAAATACATACACAAAGTGCAGTAGTTCAACCCATCTTTGGATTATGACTAATTGCATAGGAATATAGGCATATCATCTTTTTCTTCATTTGTTAATGAACCTACTTCTCCCCTAGGACTGCTTTTCCCCTTGATGTTGTTAAAAAAAATTCTTCTTGTTCCCCTACACCACTTTGGTTAGCAGCATTAATTCCTTTTGCTCTTCTCTGGCCTGTGATTCCCACACGTCCCAAACCTCACACACCTGAGCTGTCTCTGAATGTGCTTGAGTTTCATTGTCATCTCCAACCCTGTCATAAGGTCCCTCTTGGCCTTCTGTGAAGAACAATCCTGACAATCTTGCTGTCATACGCATCTGACTTATTACTCAAGCATTGTGGGAACTCTTTGTTTTAAACTAGTAGGATGCTTTTTGGGGCCAGGGGGACAGAATGAGATGTGGACAGTTTCATCCTTCTAAAGTGACTCCTTTTACTCATTCTCTTTCTGTGACACCCAGTGTCACCTGTGTGACAAGGCCTTCATGAACTACTCCTTCCTCCAGGCCCATGTTCAGCGCAGACACGTCGAGGCCAGTGAAGCTGGTGAGTAATGATGCTCAGTTTCTTTTGGAAGGGTTTTCTCTGTCAGTGATAGGTGATGGAAAAAGAATGGAGAAATGGGAGGAAATCAAAGGTGCTGAGTTCCTTTAGCATCTTTCGAGAGCTGACTGTGGCAAGCCCAAGAAAGAGAGAGAGTCTGTTTTGATTTTTTTTTTCAGCAATCCAGATTGCAGGTCTGTTCCTTTCTATCCAGGCCTCTTTTTTGTTCTTTTTTTTTGTATCAGTTGATTTCTGACTGGGAGTCTCTATCTCCACAGAACAAAACATTGGGGGAGAGCTCTGCAAAGGCAGGGAGGGAGAGGAAGAGGAAGGAGGGGAGGTCAGAAGAAGAGAGAGTTGTGCTCATGAAAGGATGAAACTTCAAAATATCTTCTCTGAAATGAGGCCAGGTTCATCAGGCTTGGAGGTTTCACATGAAACGTCCTGGTAGATACTTATACAGGCATCTCACTGGGATCAGTAATTTGTCTTTTCTCAAGTTATTGACCCACCACTCTCTCCCACTTGAAATCACTTTGACTTCTCTAGAACAGCAGTTCTCTACCTTTTTGTACCAGAACCCATTGGTAAACATTGATGGCCAGTCCTGACCCAGTGCCCCTCACTCCCGCCCCCCTGCCCCCTGGCCCCTACTTAAAAGGAGAATCTATTTTTAAAGTTTGTTCATGACCCTTTCATCTATTCTTGTGATCCAATTTGGGGTCAGGACCCACAGGTTGAGAAACGCTGCTTTAAAACATGCAAGTGCTCAGCACCTCCGAAAATCAAGCTTCATAATTAAGTTCCCATGTAGGGTCAAGGTGACTAAGATGAAGCAACCCAGTTTAAAAAGTCCCACTATCCTCCAAACTGCTTGGGACCCCAAATCAGTGATAAAGTACATGCATTCAGAAACACAAACCAAAATGTGTTTTAAAACAGGTTCATGTGCATGTGCCCACGTGTGGTTTTCGAAACAGTTCTTTATTATTTAAAAGGAAGAGACAACATAGCCTAGTGAAATGGGCACTGGATGAGAATTCAAGGCCCCACTTTCTGTCCCCGTCTCTTAATTGGCAGAGCTTGCATAGACCACTGCCCCTTTCTGTGACTCAGGTTTCCCAGTGGTAAGACAGAGAGAGACCTCTGAACGCGGGAAGCCACCAGGGGAAGTAAGCAGCACGTGGAAAACTCGGCACATGCCTTGCTTACCCTCCCCCTCAGCTTCTCCTTTCTGTCACTTTGTGAGACAGGGACCTATGATCTGACTTGGTAAATGGCAATTTTTATGTCATTATGAGATAATGATGCTCATCTCCTTGGGAACGGACTTTGAGATTGACGGGTTAAACCTGCTAGATCAGAGCTAGGTATCTTGGTTATTCATTTGCCCAGGCCAGGATTTGCCCATCTGCTACCATGAATGTAGCAGATGGGCAACAGGAGGAGGCACAGAGTCTCTTTAGCAACATGCAGAAGGAAGGAACAATTTGAGCCTCAAAACACAAGCAACATTCAAGGAATACTCTTGAGGGTGTGATATTAATCATGTCCAGTAGAGGGCAGTGGTGCCATGCATATGTGTTGCACTTTGTGTTGCATGTGCATATGTGTTGTACTTTGCAAAGGATCTTAGGTTATGATTTCAGATGTATGAAATATCTATAGTGAAAGAGAAGATGGCTTAGTATTTAAAAACCTTTCATATTTTGTTAACACAGCATAATATTTTTTTTTCTGTTGTTTAACTCAAAACTTCTGCCCCTTTTCTTGATGGACCAAAAGACTGATCCTGCAACATTAAAATCAATGCAATTTTCCTGTTCACTGTAAGTGTAGGGTTGGATCCAAACAACCAGGGGAAGAATCTGGCAATTCAGGTCCCTACTCATGGTCTCTTTGTTTGAATGGACTTTACAGAGAGGCAGAAGAAGAAGCAGGTGGAGCAAATGGAGGAGGAGATTGAAGAGCTGAAGGTGAGGCTGAAAGAGACCCGAGCCCAGCTGGAGGCTGAAAGGGAGGTTGAGAATCAACGAAGGGCTCAGGTACGAAAAAAGTTTTTTGGAGAAAAAGAGGGGAAGGAAAGAAACACACTGAAATAAGCAAAAATTGCAATGAACTTTTTCTAACAAAAGGAAAACACCTGGTTTCAGTTTCAATTTTGCGCTGAAAAAATATGTTTTCTGATTAGACCTGTAAAATTTGTCCCTTTTATAAGAGAATTAATTTTGAAAAAAAAGTAATACTTGAAAAAAAGAGGTTCCAGTAAACTTAGAGTTTGTCTACACTAGAAGACTGCATTTAGCTGGACTGCTTTAGTTATACCAGCAAACATCCCTAGTGGAGATACAATTTCTATTCAGTGTTGTTTGTTGTTTCCTAGAATTAAATAAAATATGATGGAAAAAACACTTTGACTGCCAATTTACCTGTGTGACACTATGGATCTTTCTGCTATAAGAATATTGTCAAAATATCATACTCCCATCCAACTCCATTTACATCAGCCAGTTTCTAAGGTACACCTGGGTCTGAGTCTGAGGCCTAATAAACAAAGTGTTTTTTTTGTGCTGATATATCTATGTTGGTTAGAGGACACCAGGTGATACCAGTACAATGTCTGTTGTGGATTCGGTTATACTGGAAGAGCCAGAATTATTTCAATCTACTTATTCCCCTTCCCCCTCTACCAGTATAACTGTACCCACTCTAAGATGATTGTACCACTTAGACTATACTTGTGTGCCCAGATGAACCCAATGCTTTGAGCAGATGACGGAGGAGGTGAGCTTCTTAAGAGTTCACTTCCCTAAAGCCCAGTTAGAGTCTCCCAGTCCCTCAACAGGCTCAGTTTCTCTCTCTATGACCAGCTCCTCTCTAGCTTGGAGTTTATGTTTCCTTGGTAGGAAGCAGAGAAAGTTCGCCAGAGAGAAGAGGAGGATCTTAGAATAAAAAAGGGAATAAAAAGTGGAAAGAGAGAATTTGAAAGATGGAAAGAGGAGGAGAGGACCAAGTTTCAGAAGGAAATGGATGGCCTGAGACAATTGTTCCTCACGGAGTTCAAGGACATTGCTAGCAAGAACTCTGCCTTAGAAGGGGTAAGTGAAAAATCAAGGGTTAAAATTCTTCCAATTGAAAGAGGTGCTCAGCTTCCCATGTGTCACAAGTATTTAGTTCAATAAGCCTCCTTGCTCTTTCATGTTGTCTTAATGCCTTCACATCAGAAAAACAGGCTAGAGGGTGGTGGCAATGCTTTTCATCACTGTAACGCTAAGTGTAGCTCCTGCTTGCAGTAGTGGTGAATAAGGATCACGCCAGGACATTTCAGTGTGAGCAAAAGCCTGGTCTGAAATGCCATTGGGTCTCAAACTAATAAAAGCACAGAGATAGGAAATTAAAGGCCCAAGCAGGAGTTGCTGCGCCTACTCAGCTGGGTCATTGGGATTTGGGAGACTGTTGCCTTGCACTAGTTCTGTGCTAACTCAGGCCTTTTTTATAATGTCACTGCTTATCAGCTTAACCCCCAAGTGGCTTTCCCTTTGGTGCTCTGAGAAAGGAGAGCAGATATATTGAGTTGTTCAAGGCTATTCCTTGCTACTCCCTGGCATGTGGGTTTTCTCTTGGCTATTTCAGTGGCATGTCTCACTTCATGGACAATCCTAGCACTGTGCACTTAAAGGACTGGCTAATAGTTTGATAAGTGAGCCACAAGTGTCTGCAGTCTAGTCATTTCTCACCAGGTGTCACTGGTAGCTGGTGGAAGATGGTATCTGTTGGTACAATTTGCTCTTTCCTGCCTACTCCAGAAACTGCAGGAGCTGCAAGCCAAAAACCTGGTGGTGTCCAACCTGGGGACCCTGCGGGATGAGGACACTGATGGCAAGCGGCAGTGGGCAATGACCCAGAGAGAGTTCCAGGGCATGAGGGAAAAGATAGACTTGCAGGTGAGGAAAACATCTGATCCATTGCCCACAGTCACCTGTTGGGGACCTCTCTCCCTGAGAGAGATTAAATGAAAGCACGGGGCAGGTAGAAGCCAATAACTCCCCCATCAGGCCACACTAGAGCCCAAATTCAGGAAATCCCTGACACACATACTTAAGTCCAAAAAGCATTGAGGCACATGTTTAGCACATGCCTATTCCCAAATAATTTCCTAAATCGAGGCTGAAATGTATTCTCTGATCCACAGTCAGCTAGGGACATTGGAGTGGATGGGGCCTCCTAGACACTGAGTCCAGCTGCCTGCATTCATCGATAACCAGAGAAATCCCCCAAACTGACACTGCAAACTCTCATTCATCAATAAAGCAGTCGTCCTCGTGTAGTAGAGCTAGGTGTCCTTTGCTTTCTCTGGAACCCTAATCCAACCAGGGGTTTGTTTCACAATGACTCTGCTCTTCCTTTTAGTCTTTTTTTAACTCTGTGGGAGGTTTATTACAAGTAACATGCGCCTACTTTGTGACCGCCTGTACACAAGCTCACTTGCTCACGCGCCCCTTGAGTCATCATGTAGGATCATCTAAACCACTGGGCCAGCTCCTCAGTCAGCTACAACTCGTGTGGCTTCATCAATCCCATTATGCCTATTTGAAATTGGTATACAGTAGGTTTCCCGACCAGAGTAATGTTCCCATTTCAGAGTGGAAGTTCATATTCACCAGGGTGTTATACAATCTCAGCAGCTGAAAATGGAGAAATATCTCAGGTATCAAACAAAAGGTTGCAATAGCCAGGGATCACAAAAGCCTAACAACCCCTGGAAGAAGAGACCCCTAGTAGCTTTAAAGTTGCTTTTTCCTACCAATCAGCCTCTTCAGGATACAGTGGCTGCACTCAAAGAGCCAGATATCATGGGGGAAGGAGACATCTGAGTATTGTTCATTTGGGACAAAGTTAATACCAAGTTATGTCCAACTCATGGAAAACTAAATGAAAAGAGAAACAATATGTGTTTTTCATCTCTCAGAAAGCAGAATGGAAGAGGAAGCTGAAGGAGCTGCATCAGGAACACCAGGTGGAAAAGGAAGAGGTAATGACCAGACACGCTCATGAGGAGCAGAGCAGCTGCCCATTCCTGAGGAGTACAATAAGGTCTTGCTTATGCCATGTTTATGTCCAGGCCACAAGAACATTTTCAGTAGTTTTTCCTCTTTTTTTCCCTCCTTCCTAATTTGATGCGTCAGCAATCTTATGTCACATCAAAGATGCAGAGAGCTCCCTCAGTAGAGTTCAGCCCATCCAGTGATAACAAGGATGCCTGTCGCCTTACATTTGGCACAGACAGAGGTTAGATTTCAATGCCCTGCCTAACTTAACACACAGGAACATTTTTGATTTAAGGATTTGCAGGTTGAAAGCATTAGTATCTCACATAATCACGCCATGTACTGCAGTACTAGAGAGGAACCTTCTTTCCTTTTCTCTTTCTGCAGTCGCTTTCCTAAGACATAGCTCATGGTGCTTTATAGTAAGGGTAGCACAGAGAAGAAACACTTTACAGAGCAGGTCGAAAACTGATAACAGCAACAACAAGAAAAGGCACTCAAAAAATGAGACTGACTCTTAGGCATAGTCAACAGGAAAGCATTACACAGGGTAGCATCAGTGGTAACAGTGGCTTTGTGCTTTGCCCATGTGCCTCCTTAGATGAGGGAAATGACCATCCACTGACATTTAGAATCATAGAAAATGAGGGTTGGAAGGGACCTGAGGTCACATCTAGTCCAATCCCCTGGTCAAAGCAGGACCAGCCCCAGCTAGATCATCCCTTTGTCCTTTGAATATCCCAGAAACAGCAGTACCTCCCTTTCACTCACCATTTGAGTATAACCTGCATCTATGGCCCAGAGGGAAAAAAAAGATGTAAAGTCTATATAAATATGCCACTGGGTTGGACTGTATAGTGACAATTCAAGGCAAACTAAATATCCAGGTGCTTCCCTCCTTAGCAAAGGGGGAGACAATTGCTCTAAGCTAACAGGGAAGAAAATATTTTGACCACATTTTATACCCAGCGGGTACATTTACACATGCACACTTAATGCACAGTAATTTAAGTTACTGCACAGTAACTGAAAATAACTGCATAGTATAGACACGCTTCTACATGTGCATGCCCATACTATGCAGTAACTATGGTGATTTATGCCGATTTGGGTGTAAATTTGCTACCTGCATGATGCAGTTAACAAATTTATGCCCGAGTAGTTACTGCACAGAAAGGCACGTGTAGCGTTACTGCACAGTAACACTGTGTGTGTGTGGACTGACTTGGGAATAACTTTACTCCCAAGTCGGTCCACACACAGCATTACTGCACTGTAACACCTGCACGTGTAGATGCCAGCTTACAAACCACTTACTGTGCAGTAAATGCATGTGTAGAGACTCCCAGAATGTGTTAGTCTCTTAACTCCTCTCTTATCCCTTTCAGTTGAAGATTGAGAATGAGAGACTCCAGGCCTCCCTGTCTCAGGACCAGAGGCTAGCTACTAGCCACTTCCAGCAGCAAAAGGACTTGCTCAGTGCTCAGCTCAAAGAGCAGGCCAGGATCATCCAGGCACAGGAGAAAACGGTAAGCTTGCCAGGTTCTCTTGTTGCTGTGTGTGTCATGACCAGTCTAGACATAGATGCTTTATAAGTATGCTGAAGCCTTACAGGAGTGCAGGAGAGGTTTCAAGCTCAGATATTAGGAAGCTGTTGGTTCTGCTTCTTAGGGTCATGGGTTCAATCCCTGGTTCAAAAATTATGCAGTATAGGTCAGTTTGGATGCACCTATTCATATGAATATCTGCTTATGACGCTGCTGATACTGTGGCAAGGTCTTTGATTTAGGGACAGAAAGAGAATGACGTACACTACATGCACAAAGATAAAGCTATTTCTTTGAAATGCTGACAGTATCTACCTAGGAATTAAGGGCTGAAATGTAAAAGATTTCAAGAGAAAATGAAGGGGAGTTAAGGCACCTAAGGCATCAAAATGCCTTTAGAGCTGGCAGTAGGCATCTTATAGGCTCAATATGATTTGACCTGCTTTCTGATTATTTCCTAACCCGCTGAGGATGTGATGGATGGAATGAATGCCAATTAAAGATAAAATATCACAATTCTGTAGTGACAAAATAAACTGATCTTTGAATGACAGATAACCCATTGTTTTACAGATCAAGATGCTATCGGCAAGGAAAGTTGAAGGTAATATTCTATTGTTTGGGTAAACTGGATTAAGAATAGGCAAGATTTTCATAGCTGTAACTATGAAAACCATCAGCCATCAGCACACGCAGTCTTTGTCCACTCTTGACAACTTTTATTCTTGTAAATTTAGATGCTGGTTCTGTGAAAAAAAAAAAAAAAAAAAAAAAAAAAAAAAAAAGTAAGAAAAAATGTGTCATTAGCTTGTGCATCTTTATGACACAAGCATCTCATTGTGACTGTAGTGTGGTGTAAGCATGCAATAGAGAGCATTATATTGGGTAGCTAAGGGACTGGTTGCAGCCCAGCCATGACCGAAGACAGCTCAGTTGTGGGCTAACTGCCCAAGTGTTTACCCAGTTCCTTGGGAATGTTTTCCGTGACTGAGGTATGGACGTACCCAAGAGACGCAAATATAAAATCCCAGCAACTCATTTGCATGAAAATAAGGAATTTTGCCATCTTCAGATTTTCTCATTAAAATCTACATTCCCCGTAATCGCAGTGCAGAACAAAGACTTCCCTCCAGACTCCTGCTGGTTGCAGAACTACAGAGAGCCCTGAAATCTGTGCAACTGCAGCCAAGTTTGACTCTCAGAATATAAAGAAACTAAACAGACATTACTAAAAACAAAAATATGTCAGCTTTGATTGCGAAACTCAAGTGA